GAGATTATAGCTTATGCATTTAAATGGAGGTAATTAATGAAAAGTCTTAGGAAAGAATTTGCTTAAGGTAACTTGTCTAAATTAATATATCTGATAGAGAGTTTATTCTCTTGGTCAACATTTGACAAGAGAAACAACATCAAGGTTTGACTTGTCTGGCAACAGAAAACCTAACAGAGGGGAGGTGTCCTTTTTGGGGAAAGCTAAAAACCATTTCTCACATTTGAGTGAAATGAAAAGGTAACATTTTTCTAATTTTATTTCTATAAAGAAGATAGAGGTTTTGAATCACAGAAAAATTTCTGTATTAAAAGTTAGATAGCGGGTTTTTGCAAATATTTTTAAAGCACCTACGCAATACCAGGTACACCGCTAAGTGTTAAGGAGATATTTGGAAGGAGAGAATTTCCTTGTACTTAGCAGTTTCACTGTCTAATTAGTGCAGTGCTCTGTCTTTAGTAAGCATTCAAATATTTGTGGGCAGAGTTGCATCTAGAAGAAAACTAGGCAAATGAAGATGTGCTAAATAACAGATAAAAAAATCATTGTTCTTTAATTTGTAAGGAAATATATAATGTCTTCATTACATCTTTTAAAATGTAGTTACCAAGGGGCGCCTGGGTGGCTCAGTCATTAAGCATCTGCCTTTGGCTCAGGTCATGATCCCAGGGTCCTGGGATCGAGCCCCGCATCGGGCTCCCTGCTTGGTGGGCAGCCTGCTTCTCCTTCTCCCACTCCCCCTGCTTGTGTTCCCTCTCTCGCAGTCTCTCTGTCAAATAAATAAATAAAATCTTTAAAAAAAATTTTTAAATGTAGTTACTAATAAGAAAATTTGGGGCGCCTCGGTGGCTCAGTTGGTTAAGCGACTGCCTTCGGCTCAGGTCATGATCCTGGAGTCCCGGGATCGAGTCCCGCATCGGGCTCCCTGCTCGGCAGGGAGTCTGCTTCTCCCTCTCCCACTCCCCGTTTGTGTTCCCTCTCTTGCTCTGTCTTTCTCTGTCAAATAAATAAATAAAATCTTTAAAAAAAAAAAAAGAAAAGAAAATTTGACTAATGGGATATATATTTAGAAAATGTAGTCAGCAGAAAGATAATAGAAATATGCATGTGTGACTGACTGACCAAATAATTCATAGGTTAGAAAGTTCACTCTCAATGTACTGATATGCTCTTTGAGGTCAATGTCTCTAGGACATTTGGAAAAAATCTTCGGAAATAGGAAATTGAAAGGTGTCCCTGCTGAAGAGCTTTCTGATAAAGGGGAGATGAGGCTTGGCATTTGGAGCTAGTTTCTGGAGACTAAGAGAGCACCAAATTCTAGTTCTCATTGAAACCATTTATAACTGATCTAGATGTTACACTGAACTTTATGTACAGTTTTCTTGGAGTGTCACCTCTGAGTTATATTTAAAGTCAGGACACATACACTGGTGACAAGGTTTCAGAACAGAGGCAGCCTTCGAGCATCTGTTATGTAACTCAGCTCCCGTTGGAGGAAGTGGGCAGGGTGTTTTGGAGAGAAGAAGAAAAGGAAGCAGGCAACAATGTAGGGATGAGCTGAAGGAGAGGGGTTGCAGGCTTTTGCCAGTGTGGTCTACCACCGGAGATAGCAAATGACTAGGTGTTTTCTCTTCTGGTTTTAATCTTACCAAAAGAGCAAACCTCTGATGTGCTAGCAAAGCACATACTAGGTTTGTGCCATGGCCTGAGGGAAGGCTTGGGGGAGTTGAGGTATAATTATATTTAGGATTAGAGGAATGGTGGGCTTGCAGGCAGATAAAATGGTCCCTTGACTGCCTCTACTTCCTTGTGTACAGAGGCAACTGGAAGGTTATCATGTTATATGATTCTTAAATAGAGCCAGTGACCTCAAGTGAGTGTTGCCTTTACGAATTCCACATGTGTAATTGAAGAACCCTTATTATGCAAAGAAGTTTTATTTATAAAAGATAGTAGTATCTCCCTTGTGTGGCACTTGTATTTTATTTGGTATAAGACTATGCCCCTACTTTTTTAAGATATCCTTAAATTTCACAGAAGTTTCAATTTTATGGAATCTAATTTGAAATTATGAAATGTAGGGTATTTTCCTCCCTAGAAGAAATACCCTAAAAGTTTTTCCTTTAATTGTATGTGAAAATCATTATTTGTGATTCCTAATTTGATTGGATGTTCACTAGTTGCCAAAACCATATGTGCATTTTCTCCATGCTCTAGTGCTTAGAACTGGTACCATTTTAACATTTGACAAAGTAAAACAGCGTTTTCCTCTAGTGCACAACTTTTACAGGGTAGTTTGTGTGTTAGGCACAGTGGTTATTTCTGTGTTTGTACACATACTAGGAGGCTCCGGAGGAGAAAAGGAAGCCAGTCCACAGTGTGTATGTTGCTTCTATGTAACTAACAGCTGTGGAAACTTCTGATGAGGGAGGAAGCAACTCATTTTTGGGAGACATCATTTATCTGTGCTGGTTCCTTTACTTCCTTCAATCCCTTCCTTTTGCTGCCTCGATTGAGTGTAGGCTGTATTATTATCCATTCCAGAAAGTGTTTTTAAAAAATGCTCTTGGTATTGCTAACACTGTAATATAAAAAGGGTAAGTGAAGTTAAACAGGTAAATTGAATGATCTGGCCAAAGTCATCAGTGACTCAAATGGGCGGGGGAGGAATTTATAACACTCTTCCTCCAATAAAGACAACCGATGCCAGACTTTCCTGACATTTGATAATTTGGCCCAACTCTTTTTAGTCTCTAATTTTTATGTCACTGAAAGATTACATTTTTTTTTTAAAGATTTTATTTATTTATTTGAGTCATTTGAGCAGGGCGCCTGGCTGGGATCCTGACTTGAGCCAAAGGCAAACACTTAACCTGCTTAACCGACTGAGCCACCCAGGCATCCCGAAAGATTACATTTTAAGATCCAAGTTACCGTAGGAAAGTCACTGCCAAGCTAGTGGTCAACAACTCTATGAATTTCTTGATTTATACTGTGCCAGAATAATGTTGCTATTAAGTAGTTCCAGTTATTAGTGCTTCTATACATTGCATACCTGGTAAATAGGGAACAACTAGAAGAATTAATTTGGAACTGTCATTTCTTAGAAGCCTGCTCAAATTTTTTTCTAGCTTCTCGGCGAGCCATTAAAGAAAAATAATTCAGCTATGAAGGGAGAAAGCCTTCCTTCCTACCTGGCTTTCAGTGCACAAACAAGAAATTAGGAATCAGAGGGTAACAGTCCTAGGAAATGCTTAATTGAGGGGGCAATTTTATTTATATTAAGATGTCTGAAGATCTTTGTGTGAAGAAACTATGAAAACAGAAAAAACATCTTTTGTTCACCAGACTAAATCTTCGTAAGCCATCATTGTGTACTTTTGAATCCTGCTGAACAACATTCTGAAGGTTATTAAATTGAGACTTTTGTCTTCTTTATTTTTAGCACATTCAAGTGTATATATAAATCTCTGGAATGTTGAAGGAGTGACATTCCACAAGTGTCAGATTTTTTTTTTTTTTCTGTTGCCCATTGTGAAGAGGAGACCAGTAAATTAAGAATGTTTGATTCTTTCTCCTATATTTGCTTTCTTTTTGGAGCTCTGTTTACAGAATAAAGAATTGCTTTTTGTAGCTAGATTATTGAATAGGAAAATCATGTTTTAAATTACTGTTTTCTGACAGTGACTAATGATTAATTAACCAAGCTAGCATTAGTAGAAAAGCATTACTATAGTATTAAATGTCTCCAAGGCTTAGACTGTATCATTGAACAGCAACAAAAAACATAGAGTTCACAATAACTAGATTTAGAACCAAGAATTTTACTCTAAGTTACAGCCTTCAAAGGTGGCTTCTTTCCTCGTGTTCTGGGATGTAGAGACTTATGGATATCTTTGCAGATTCTGTCATAGCAACTTTAATGTGTTCAGTATTAGATTCTGAAGTAACTGTTAGTCCATTTTGGGGAGTTCTGGTACATTTAATTTTTATCCAGGCATTCTGTTATGGTAACAAAGCAATCACTCACATATTTTAATGAGTTACCAGTAAGAACTAGCTGGCCATTAGGATGCGTTCCACTGTACCCTTTAAATCTGGCAAAATACAGTTGTATTTTGTACCCATGGATAGATCTAGGGAATATTATGCTAAGTGAAATAAGTCAGACAGAGAAAGACAAATACTGTATGATTTCATTTACATGTAGAATCTAAAACACAAAACAAACAGAAATAGACTCATAAATACAGAGAACAAACTGAGAGTTGCCAGAGGGGCGGGGGTAGGGAGAATGGGTGAAGTGGGATTAAGAGGTATACACTCTGATAATAAAATAAATAAGTCATGGAGACATAAAGGGAATATAGGGAATATAGACATATATATTATATAGTTATAGGGAATATAGTCAATAATATAATTACTTTGTATGATGACAGATGGTAACTAGACTTATAATAGTGATCATTTCATAATGTATATAAATGTCTAACCACTATGTTGTACACCTAAAACTAATATATTATGTGTCAACTATACTTCAGTAAACAAATCTGGAAAAATAATGTGGTTTGAAATTACCTTTTAAAATAAAAAACAGTTTGAGGAAAAAAATTAATAAAAATGATTAATAGAAAAAATTATTCTTAGGTCCAAGAGAACTAGATTATTGTAACGAGAGAGATTCTTAAACTGGCTCTTGGAACAGAATCAAATACTACCTTTAACAAATGTGGAACTATTTTTAGGGACATGGCTTTGAGTATAGCAGTGTGTCTATATGGTCTGAGAGGACCCTAACCATTGTTTGCAGTGAGGTTCTTCTTTGTTTCTTGATTTGTTTTCTTGGTTGTTTGCCTTTTATCGGGCTCTTGGCTCTGAATCACATATGGGGGATGGACTAATGATATACAAGATTTTTGAAAATGTTAAAAAGAATACGAAACTGATACTGGCATTCTTGTAATTGCATATGTTATTTCTTTATTTACTTTCAGTTTGGTTAATAAACTTAAACCTGGCGTCATTAAGAAGATCAATAGATTATCCACACCAATAGCAGGTTTGGTAAGTAAAAAATTATCTTCAAAACTGGATTTGTTTTCAAAATGTAAAACGATGAGCATAGACTGGTACTCTTATCTGGAATTATCATAGAAATTAGGTTTGGGGTTTCTTGCTCAAGGAAAGTGTTTTTAGTGATGTCCTCCTATATCTTCAGTTTTTTTCTGTTTCCCTTCTGCTGGGAGACTTTTATTTTTTGTTGTTGTTTGTTTTGCTTTTTGTGCCCTCAAACTTCATATATCCCCTTTCTTAGCTTATTTCTTCCACAAATTGCATTTGTTTATGAGCACCTTCTTTCTGAAGCTCAGCCCTGCACACTTTGTTTGCCAGTTGACCACAGTTTAGGGAAACTCTAGATGTTCCCCAGTTGTTACGTTTCTGTTGCTTCATGCTATGCATAACCCTCACTTAGCCTGCAGATCTTGGGGTGTATTTGCCACAAGTTTGCTTTATATCATAGATTTCCTACCAGAGTTCTGTGTGATATTGGGTAGGTCCCTATCTGCTGTTGCCTTAGTAATATTGCCTATCAGATGACTATGGGATAAGTCTCTAGATTCTTTCTAGCTTTAAATTTGGATTCTGTGTATGAAAAATACCCCACCCTGTCATTATATAGATACTCTAGTGGATCAATAATTGAAAGACCAATAAAAAGGTGGGGCTGTATCTTTGAAAAAAAAGTAATTTAAGTACAAATGATGGGTTATTTTCAAAATGTTAGCAACCCCTAAGAATCAAGGCTGATGACAGGAGTCAGTTTAAAAGAATTAATTTTGTAAAACACTGAAGTTTAACACAGCGACTACCTGGAATTATATATATATTAACATTAATTATATATAATATTAATTCCTTCTTTCTTACCAAGTTATTTCTATTCCATTTCTATCATGACATGATTTCTGTCATGACATGATATTTTTATTGGTCTCAAATTTGGTTAGGCATAAAAAACTATCATGTATGCATATATTGTTATATGAAGATATATATATGACTGTATAGCAATATACATATATGTATGAATTACTTCTAGTAATATAGCAAGTCAGAAGATATTACTTCAAAAATAAAATTGAAGAAATTTGGTTTTTGATTCTTCCTAGGAAGAAACATTCAGTTTAATAAAAATAAAGCCTTACATGAAAATCATTTTTATGAAATAACTTCTGTGAAAATTAAAAGTTTGAATCATATTGAAAGGTTTTTCAAGTGGCTTGAGTTATTCTTACTTTAATGTTTAGATTTTGAATTGTCATTTCTTGGATCAATTACACACATTGTAAATGAAATTAGCCTTTGATTTCAAACACCCTTCATATTTGGAATACTTGAATTGTGGTGGCTTGTTGTTATTGGCCACTGGAGGTTTTATTCAATCTTCTGATTCTATGATTAGATGAAAGCCAAATGTATTTTATATTTAAATCCAAACATCTCTCCAACTATTTCTATTTCAAGCATGGAAATTCTATCTGGTTTGGATTTTATCTCTAGACACTAAAATGAAATGTATTTCCGGAACATTAACTGGGATGATTTCCCAAATACAGGACGCTGAGCATTTTCAATGGGATGTAGGAGCATAAGAATAACTGCAGTTGCAGAATTGGGCTATAATTGGTTTGAAGTTGTCATCGTGCCTCATTTGACTCCTTCTTCTCACACTTGTGTGTCAGGATGGTTATGTCAAAATTTCTTGAAGCTTCAATTTGAAGTGTGCATTAGAGCTCCAGCATCTACCTGGTAAGGTTGTCATATGTGGATAGAAAGGGATTATATAGGTAGTCTGACATACAGATGCTAAATGAATGTTGTTTTGTTGCATATTAATTTTTTAAACAAATAATTGAGTGCCTACTAGGTTGAGAACTTTTCTAGTTTATGGGGATATATTGGAGGAATAAAAACAGGTAAGGACATTATCCTCAAAAAGCTTACATTTTAGTGGTAGAGCAGGATCTAGCAAATAAATTAGCAAATGAGCAAGAAATCACCAGATATAAATGTGCTGCAGAGAATTATAATAGACTGACATTTGTTGAACACGTATGAGCACTCATAGTTGGACTATGAAGATTGACCTCAAAAATTCCTCAAGGAATATGTCAGAAGCCTTTGTTTTTGATGTGTATAGAAGAAAGATAAAAAACCCAAGCTGGACTCTTTATACTAGTAATTTCTGTGTTCACAGCAACTAACATAATGACTGATACATTTGGAGGTAAAAGATTTATTTTTTAAAGATTTTATTTATTTACTTGAGAGAGAGCCTAGAGGGAGAGGGAGAAACAGACTCCCCACCGAGCAGAAAGCCTGACGCTGGGCTCCATCCCAGGACCCTGAGATCATGACCCTAGCCTAAGGCAGACACTACCAACTGAGCCATCCAGATGCCTCCAAAGATTTTTTTTAATGAATAAGTGGAAAAGCTTTCAATTGTGAAAAATAGTAAGCTCTCGAATTAGATCTTTGAAGGGATAGTATTATAGGTTGAATTGTGCCTTCCCCCAAACATAGTATTTTGAAGTCCTAAACCCCAGTACCTCAGAATGTGACCTTATTTGTGAATAGGATTATTGCAGATGATGTACTTAGTAAAGCTGAGGTCATAATGGAGTAGGGTGGGCCCCTAATCTAGTATGACGTCCTTATAAGAAGATGACTATGTGAAGGGGCGCCTGGGTGGCTCAGTTGGTTAAGCGACTGCCTTCGGCTCAGGTCATGATCCTGGAGTCCTGGGATCGAGTCCCACATCGGGCTCTCTGCTCAGCAGGGAGTCTGCTTCTCCCCCTGACCCTCCCCACTCTCATGCTCTCTCTATCTCATTCTCTCTCTCAAATAAATAAATAAAATCTTTAAAAAAAAAAAAAAAAAAAGAAGATGACTATGTGAAGACAGGTACACCCAGGAAGAATGCCATGTGACAGCGGAGGACTGGGGTGAGGCATGATAGGCAAGGAGAACCAAAGATTGCCAACAAGCCACCAGAAGCTAGAAGGGGCAAGGAATAGTTTCCTTACAGGTTTCATGGAATCATGGCTTTGTGGACACCTTGATTTTGGACTTTGAGCCTCCAGAACTGAGGGACAATAAATCTTTGTTTTAAGCTACCCAGTTTGTGGGACTTTGTCATCGCAGTGCTAGGAAACTAATACAAATAGGCAAGTGGTTTTTGTTTTTTTTTTTAATTTAATACTTGTTTAAAAAAAAACTTTATTTTAAAATAAATAGAGATTCACAGGAAGTTGGGGGAAAAAAACAGTACAGAGAGGTCCTCTGTGTCCTTCACCCAGTTTCCCCCATGGTAACATTTTGCATAACTGTGATATGATATTAAAACCAGGAAAGTGACATTGGTACATCCAAAGATCTTAATCTGATTCACCAGTTTTATATGTGGTTAATGCTTTTTTAGTAACAAAGAGCAGAGATGCTTTCAAGCTAAGTGAGATGAAGTGTTTTCTTTTAAGGAATTTTCAGAGGACTCTGTCATTAATTTGGTGTTCAGCCATAAATATGACAATCACATTCCACATGATTACTTTTTCTGCCTCATTGCAAACAGGAAATGGTGTCTCTCAGTTGAGGTTCCCAAGAGAAGAATCTGAATAGATCAAATTACCTTGTCTTTCCAGGCTACAGATATCATAGGTCACTAGCCAGCTGGTGGATGCGTTCCTTGAGAAGAGTGTCGTCTTGGCAAAATGGGCTATGGTTAGGAGTGTTGGTAGCCTTTGGCTCACTGAGTTCAAGTGTGTGGGTTAAAGAGTGTTCTGTGAATGAGGTTTCTCTGGGGTAGATAACATTAAGTTAAATATAGTAAGAATTATACAATTTCTATGCTCCAAGCCCTGTTTTCCATCACTCCCTTCTTTTTCTCTTTCCTTCTGCTATAACTTTCATCCATTTCATGCCATGTTGTTGTATTTAGCTTTGAAGCCAAGGCACTGGATTTACTGTTTATAGATGGCCCTATGTGAAACACCTGGAATATCCTCTGAGCAATGACAATATGAAGAAAGGTGTTTAGCTGATTTAGAAATATACTGAATGCTTTGCTTGAAACAATCACATTATTTTATGAGTGTTTTGTCTTTGGGAAGGCATTAACCATGTTCTCATAGATCTAGAGATACAGTTTTTCTCACTTGACTAAGTTTTAATTTTTAAAGAAATACATTTTTCTCTATCTTTTCTATTTTTTATATTCTTCACAAAGCCATGCTAAAAAAAATCTCACCCAAGAGTTGGAGTTTTCCAAAAAATTCACCAGTGTTAAGTGTGGGTATGTTCAATTCATTGAAACTCAAAACTAAAGGTGTATTTGGGAATTAAAAAATTCAACCTCAAAACAAAACCCTGAGAAACAAGCAAGATATTCTGATGGTGAAAAGAGCCCTTGAACCAGAATAAGGTTTACCATCTGATGTCTTAATGTGCATGAAATACAATATGTGTAGAGAACATCAAGGAAGTTATTAACCCTAAGACTTACAGTTGTCTTGGACCCCTAATGATTTAATTGTATTTACTAAAGCAAGGTTGCTCAACCTTGGCACCACTGACTATTGACATTTTGGGCTCAATAATTCCTTGTTGGGGGGGTCTTTCTTGTGCATTGTAAAATGTTTAGTAGCTTCCCTGGACTCTACTCACTAGATGCCAGTAACACCATGTTCCCCACCCCAAAGTTATGACAGCTAAAAATGTCTTCTGACATTGCCAATGACCCTGATGGGGTAAAATCATCCCCGACGAAGAGCCACGGAGCTAAAGAGTTAAGAAAGTAAACAATACCCCTTTACATGGGCTAGTTTGCTTACTGAGTATAGATTTGAGTGATCTACTTATGCCTGCCATTTCAATTGCAGTTTCTCTTAGAAAAGCAATGGTATTCTAGAAAATTTGGTTTGAATCATTTGTTTGTTTGAAAGTTTGTGTCTTTTAGTGGGCTTAATAGAAAAATCTTCTTGGGGTGCCTGGGTGGCTCAGTCAGT